GTATGGCCTTGCCGTCAGCTGCTGGCCCTTAGGGAGCCTACGATGCCCATATCTGCAGGATGACCGAACCAGTTGCTGCAGCTCCTCTCATGGGACTCAAGGAATGGAGATGGTCCACGACATCAGCTACAAACATTAGGGAGAAGGGCCCTGGGGTTCAGGGACAACTCGGAGCCCTTCTCCAGGCCCACCACCCAGACTCACAGTCACTTCACCTTTCCGGGGGGGGGCACTCAGCAGCGTGGGTGCTTTGGCAGAAGGGGGGCAGAGGCCAGATTCATCATGCACCAGGGTCTCAGAAGAGGAAGACCTGTCAGGGGAGATGGGGTGGCCATGATGGTGGAGGCCTCCTCCTCCCCCCTGGTTCCTGGCTGCCCGGGGCACTGGCCATCCCACCACCTCCTTCATGTCCTTATGTTGACAGCCCCGCAAGGGTGTCCCCACTTTGAGAGTCACCCACAGGGGGAAGGGCAGGTCTCAGCATGTGATGGGAGGTAAGGGAGGTGATACAGGGGGAGTACTGCTCCATGAATGAAGCACATCTTGATGCGGGGCCACCCAGCACCATCGGTAGAATCACCACCCGCATGATGTTGTCAGCTCCAGGCAGGCCCTCTGCCACTGCCCACTCATAAGGGATATCCTGGGCCATGAGGGCATACACATGTTTCTGAGGAAGGCTGGATCATTCCAGTGCTTCAGGGTAGCATGGCCCTGGGCAGAGACCTGCTCTGCCATCATGTACATGGAGGCACAACAACATGCAATTACCATGCTGGTCCTAGTGATTGCAAGGGCTATGCTTGCATATTCCACTAACAACCTATATAGCAGCATCTTCCCAGCCTTGGTCCAATTAGGCTGGCAGTAGCTAGTGTCACTACCAGATGTTGGCACGGCCATGCCATCCACACACAGGGGAATGTAGTGGCAGGGCAGAGCACCATGGAAAGCCTTGAAATCCCTGGTTCCCCTTCCACTCCCGCCCTTCCCATTATGGACACTAGGCTTCAGGAAGAAACCACACAGACAGGATTTGGGTGGCACTGTAACACAGGAGGAGGGACCATGCTCAGCAATACTGGGCACGTATCAGGATGCTGTAACTGTCAGACAGCACCTGTGTGGATTGCTTCCACCTGGACGGAGGACCTTGAGCCTGCTCTCCCGGGCCAAGCTTCTGCCCCCCGCGTCATCCCTGTCCTATATAAGGGCTTGTTCTCCCTCAGATTCCTGCCCACTAGATCCTTCCAAGGGGTCATGGCAGAGGTTTTTGAAGTGTTCCAGTCCTTGGTGAGCCAGTTCCTGTAAAGCTTCCTGGATGTCATGCTGGGGCCCCTGCAAGAACATGTGCGCTCCCCTACAGAAAAGATGTAGCTGGCACCCATCGGGGCAGGGTTCATGGCAAATGCAGGCTTCCTGAATGTAGTGGGTACTGTGGACTGCACCCATATTGCCCTCACTGCTCCCCCCAGAGGAGCATTTTCACAGATCTTGTAGGCAAGTTTCCAGGCAGCATCCATGATGTGCAGAACTTTGCAGCATTAGGCCTCAACCACCTGTTGTCCTCCTGGACAGAAGGCAAAGAATTGCTGCTAGGTCAGTAGTCTGAGGAGGGGGAGGGGCAATGGGCAGTCCTGACGAGTGTCATTCCCTCCATGCCAGTTGACCTCCTCCTCCCTTATTTGCTGAGACCATATCCCAAAGATGAACTGCCAGACTGTGCAGCCTACAACCAAGCCACCACCAGATACACATGGTCATCACGAAGGCATTTGGTGAGCAGTTCCATTGCCTCCACCATACAGAAGGGCAGCGTGCCATGCAGCCCCTGGCAGTCTCCAAGCCTTTGCGTCTGTGCCATGCTTCACAACTAGGGGTGTGCAAAAAAATAAAATAAAAAATCCGGCCCTATTCAGATTCAGCCGAATCGGGCAGAATCAATTTCGGCCAGCAGAAAGGCTCCTGCATGTCAATTTTGGCAGTACCAGCTGATTTCGGAGTCTTTCAGCCAGCCCAATGTCAGTTTCGGCCCCATTATATCCTATGGGCTGTTGAAGTCAATGGCGAAAACATAGGGTATCTTCTGGGGGCTGGAGAAGAGGGGGTTTGAGGGAGAGGCTCCAAACTCGCAAGCTAGCGAGTTACTTTTTCCCCACCATAGAGAACAATGGAGGGGATGGGGGCAACCTGTTTGGGGGCCTGTAGAATTGGACCCCCTGGTTCAGTGTTCTTGAAACTTGGTGGGTATCTTGGGGAGAGGCTCCAGCAGCTACTCTGCGAGTTTGGATTCCTCCCCTCCAGCCCCCAGAATATACCCTATGTTTTCGCCATTGACTTCAATGGCCCATAGGATATAATGGGACTGAATTGCCGCCGAATTTCGGCGGCAATTCAGGGTCAAGCCGATTCAGATCAGAGAATCTGAATTGGCCTGTAGCAGCCCGAAAGGGGCCCGAATGGGCCATTTTCGGCGGTGCATTCGGTTCAGGCGAACTGAATGTACATCCCTATCCACAACATTGCCATGCACCAATGGCTGCTGGGACCCCCCATAGGGGGGTGTCAGAGGGTCCCTGAGTCAGGGGGCAGATCAGAGACCACACTGAACACAAATTGGTACAAGAACACATATGGTGCAGGAGCCGTCCTGCCACCCAGGTTTTTTTTGGCTAGCATGCCACTTTGGGGCTCTTGGAGAGGCATGATTGGTCAGCCATGGAATTGATGGGGATCCAGTGTGCTTACAATCCTGCTGGAGCGGGCCCCATTCCACTGTGGCCCTGGCTAGTCGACCTACAGGCAAATCCATCTTGGAGAAGAAAACCACTCCTTGCTGCCTTTCTGCAACATACAGCAAAATACATGGTATATGAGTTTGGACCAATGTGTCATAATCAGCTCTTGCAACACACATGCCATTTTAGGTATTGAGGACAGCCATGGAGACAACATGCCCCACCTATTGCCCATGTGGGCCACTTGCCCACACGGATTGGCTGGGGTGAGACGGAGGCAGTGAGACATCCAGTTCCTGCCCTGCTATTGGTTGCACAGAAGAGAGGCAAACACTGTAGCTTCTGAAGCCACCAATGGGCAGATTCCTGGCCCCAGCAGTCCCAGAGTCGTAGTTGATCACGACTTCCAAGGTACGGAAAATGTTAGTGACTTTGCCTCCAGGTTGTTTTAGGGTGGCCACTATATATTTCCCACCAACACCTCCCTCAGGCATGGGGGGGGGGGAGGTTGCGAATTGCTGTCTCTATTTTTAGCTGTAGAAGTCTGGTTGAAAAATAACACCCATTTTTAGGAAAGGTGATTTTATATTAATTTATTTTCTATTTTTAACAAAGATTAGGAGAGAGGAGTGGGTGGCCAGGCCACTTCTCAAAGGACAGGGATTCCCCCCCCAGCAGCCCCCCATCCAGCAGGGCTTCTGGGGAGAATCACTCATGATGTGCAATGCCTGTCTGGTGCAGTGGAGTTCCAATGAGGAACCCAAAATGCCTTGTCAGGGTAGATTGGACCTTCTTGGTGGCCACCAGGACTCAAGCACTCAGAGTGACCCTTATGTAAACACATTACCTGGGACTTATGTACACATGTGCCTTTATGTGCCATGTTCCTTCTTGTGACTGATGTGTCTGTTCAGCAGCTGCACTGCCTCATTTCCCCATCCCCATTACCCATCACCATACCAGAACCCCTTGCGGAAAGCCTGCAAATTGGTCAGAGACCCTCACCCCTGGGATGACTCCCTCCAGAACTCCCCAACAATCAGTCTTCAGCTTCACAACCGCTCAGTCAGGGTACAGGTGCCAAACCAGGCACAGGGTAGGATTCCAACAAAGTTGAAACTGACAGATGTAGCCAGTACTATTCACTGTTAACATCTGCTTCTTTTGATATAAAAAGTTATGAGCTAGGTCATGTAAAAAAACAAATACCCTTGAAGTAAATCAGCACCTTTTACCATTTCCACAGGCCCCCTGAAATGCCCTTGTTAATTAGGCCGAATATTTGCTTTGATTTGGTCTCAGTTCCATTCTTCAGCGGAGTAAGGTGGGAATGGGGCTGCTCAGAGAGAGGTGGACAAGGATTCAAGAGGGTTTCTTTAATGAGTTAAGATTGCCACCTTTGTGAAATTTGGGCATTTGGGCCAGTTTTTAATCCCCAAGTCTGGTTGCCAGATCAAGTTTTAACATTAAGAGGGGGGAACCAGCTTAGTTTTTCCCTGCATAGTTTTTTTCCACTCGTTATTCCAAGTTAATGTCAAAGTCCCTCCTTCTCTATTCACTCTCTCTTCTCTCCCACCTTTCTGCTCACCACCACCATCACCACTCCCGCCTCTATAAAAGTAGCACAGAAAGCTGTGCGTGCCAGGTCCTAAATTCTCACAAGGTTCTGAACTGGGGAGTTTAGGAACTGGCATGCTATTTTTAGAGGCCTAGGGAAACGGAGAAAGAGGAAGAAGAGATATTAGCCTTGGTTCACCCTGTTCCTGGTAACACCCTTTATTCCTGTCTTCTCTCCCCCACTCTCCACCCCCCTTTCATCTCCTGCTCTCCAGTTCCTTCTATATACACCTTTCCAACTCTGTTCCTCCTGTAGCCTGAAAATTGGTCTTGGTGTTTTTGGTGTGAGGAGCATATTGAGAGGCCCCAGGAAGACAAAATGTATAGATCTGGGCCTTTGAGCCTGCAAAGGAGACTGTTAAGCATTCCATTGCTGATGGATGCATATTGATGATTTTCTATGGAACTTGGTAGTTCCTGTGTTTCTCAGCAACTATAACAGCTTGGACTAATTCAGCATATGTCAAAGAGACACCCAGGGTCCCTGGCACATTTTGTGCGAGCTTGACCAACCTGATTTTTTTTTTGTCAGAGGATGAGAGAATTATGCACCAAGGGACGCTTGTTTCATGTTAGCTACACAAAGACCATCAAAAAGGCTTCCTCTGAGCATGTTCTAATCTGTTTCCTTTTATTTCTTTCCAGGAATATATAAAGGACACTGTTTTCAAATCAACCACTTCCCTGAAGACAATGACTATGATCATGACAGTTCTGAATACCTACTCCGTAAGTAAAATGGGCAGAAGTATCTTTAAATAATTATTAGAAACAGGGGCAGGTCTTGGGGGGGGGTTGTAGTTTCTAAAGGAACTTAATTACAGATAAACAAGTATGACCTCTTTTGTTTCTTTTTGTTTCTGTATGTTGTCATTGTGAATGGTTTCAGTTCACCCTATTACCATTGCTAATATTGATTAATTTGTTTCTTTTACACATTTTAACGTCTGTCATTTATATGTATAATGTATATATACAGTGTCTTGACACAAATAGTACTGGACAATGTTCACCTTTTACAGAAAGGTTCAAGCCAAAAAAACAGAAATGACACAACAATAACATTTCAAATGTTCAATTTACAAGGGGAAGCAAATTCTATAAAACCAGCAAGCTTATAAACTTTAGTAGCATCCATAAACACAACCTAAATATGACACATAGGGCCAACCTCCAAGGTGTCCCCCCAAATACAATTGCGTTGTCTGCACATGCTCAGACAACGCACTTCGGGAAAGCGCTACAGCTGAGCACAGCAGCAGAGTAGCACATCAGCTGCTGCTCTGGGCCTGGAGGCAGCCCGCTGTAGGCCTGATGGCGGAGGATGCTGGCACACACTGCAGGCCCAGGTGCAGAAGAGGATGCCAGCAGTCGCTGTGGGCCTGGGCACCACAATGGCAGATACAGGCAGCTGCTCCGGACACCGGCTGCCAGTCTCAGTGTTGGATGGTGGGGTCTGGAGCCTCACTGATTCAGCAGTGGTGGGGATATGGGATTTTCCCACACACACACAGGTTTTGCAGGGCTCCCATTTGTCTTATATTCTAATAACCACTATTATATTCTAATAACATCTGTGGATAGCTAACTCCAAGGATCAGGGCTATATGGAGGCTCAAAATTTTTTCCTGCGAACTTGGAGAATTCCCCTAGTGTACAGGAAAATCTGAAAATTTAAACAAATACAGGGGGGATTTAAATCCCCTGGGAAGTAAAACACACCCAGTAGTCTTCTTTAGAATCCAGGAGCTGCACTGTGCCCAGTTGCAGCAGTGGCTGCGCCTGGAAGCTGCGCTGGACCCAGCGGCAGCAGTGCAGCCCAATAGCAGCACTGGACCTGGTGGCACAGACCAGGAGCCCTGCTGGGCCTGGTGGCAGAGCCTGGAAGCCTCACTGGCCTGGGCCTAGCAGTGGTGGCCACACAGCCCAGGAGCCACCACAGTCTCGCTGTGCTAGGAGCAAGGGTGGCTCCCGGGGGAGGCTGAGCACTTTCCTGAAAATTTCGGCGGGGGCTGAAGCCCCGCCGCCCCCACGAAGATTACGCCTATGAGTCTCAGTGAGAGAATGGGTTCCCCCACACACACAAGTCTCACAGGGGCCCACTTTTTGCAACTGTTTTCAGTCTACATTAATCAGTTCCCCTGGAGGAAATGGCAAGGTGAGAGCATGGACTCTGGGCCAAACTACAGAAGATGTATTTCAACAAGTTAGATCTGAGGTTCGGGATCTACAGCCCCAGGCGGGGAGTTCGTTGCCCCATTTGGGAATTTTACGTGTACGGAGTACTACACAGCAGCTCCAAACTATGGCAGATAACTCTTCCCCAAGGTCTTTTCATCTCAGGAGAAGGGGGGGGAGGCAGGAACTTATCTTTCCCCCACATCATGGTTTTGAGCAGAATCAGAGCCCCACAGACTTTTAAAATGACATTCTCCACAGCTATGTGGTTGCCCTAAAAGCAATCTAGGTCCAGAGAGCAGGGTAAAACAGTTGATTGTATAACTGAAAGCAGCTAGAACCACCCTGATTTTAGGCCGAAGGTGAGACAGCTACAAACATTTATTTATTTAAAATACTTATACTTTGCCTCATCTCTGCAAACTCAAAGCAGCTAACAAAACAGCACAAACTGCAGGACAGACATTACAAGTTAAACCCTCCCTACCTATCTACCTACCTATCTACCCACCCATCCATTCAATTTCTAACCCACCCTTCCCTGCACAGCAGGTCTCAGTGCGGAGTACATCATAATATATAGTTAAGAGCTTAACTTTACAATATTAAAATAATAATTTCATCAACAGTGGTGCTTAATAAAATCAAAGCATTGCAGATGGTAACAGTCAAAGGGGTAAATGAGAGGGAACAGAACCAGAAGAACAGAGGTCAGTGTTCTTTGTTGTCACTATCCCTGCCCATATGCCTGGTGAAATATCTCTGTCTTACAGGCCCTGCGGAATTGTTTCAGATCCCGCAGGGCCGATGTCTCACTAAACATAAGAGTTCCACCTGGTAGGGGCCAGAGCCAAAAATGCCCTGTCCCTGGTCATGGTCAGTCAGATGGTTTTCAGGCTGGGGAACCCTAGCTGGTTGTCATTAGCTGAGTGTAATGCTCTTTGAGGAACATATCAGGAGAGGCAGTCCCGTAGATACACTGGTCCCAGACCATTTAGGGCTTTGAATGTCAACACCAAAACCTTAAATCTGTTCCAATACTCAAATTGGAGTCAGTGCAGCTGGCAGTGCACCAGTTGAATATGTGCTCTCAACGGTGTACCTGTGAGAACCCAGGCCACTGCATTCTGCACCAATTGCATTTTCAGGATCAGGTGTAAGGGTAGCCCTGCGTAGAGCAAGTTACAGTAATCTAGTCTAGAGGTGACCACTGCATGGATCACTTTGACTAGGTCTTGATGAGATAATTAGGGTGCCAGCAATCTAGCTTGGTGTGGATGAAAAAATGCCAGGCTAGTTACAATCATGACCTGTGCCTCCATTGACAGGGAGGCCTGTAAGACCACACCCAAGCTCTTGATGGTTAGTGCAGATGTCAATGGCAAGGCATTAAGAGCCAGGAGCTGGCCTCCCATACTGGCCCTCTTTGACCCAGCCACAGGACTTCCATCCTCTCCATCCTCAATGGATTAAATTTCAGCCAGCTCTGTTTCAGCCATCTCACCACAGCCTCCAGTCCCATGGCCAACATGACTGGGGCAGTATCCAGTCGGGCACTCATCAACAGATATAGCTGGGTGTCATTGTGTATTAATGACAACCCAGCCCAAAACTCAAAGCCAGCTGGGCAAGGGGGCACATATAGATGTTAAAGAGCAATGGGAAGAGGACTGCCCCTTGTGGGACCCCACATTCTTTTTTTTATTTTATTTAAAAGCTTTATTCCCTCTCCTAAAAAGTAAAGATATTTCGCTTAATTAGAAAGGGGGAGGGTATATAGTGGGATCAAGAGAAAGCTGAGTGATGTTTTAACTAGTAAATTAATCTGTTAGTAATATAAATCTTTTCTTCTTTTTCTTCTTGAGTGTTGTCAAACTTCTTTCTTCAAACGGGTTAATATGTTAGTAGTGTCCCATTGGTGAATATTAAAATAATAATTTCATCAACAGTGGTGCTTAATAAAATCAAAGCATTGCAGATGGTAACAGTCAAAGGGGTAAATGAGAGGGAACAGAACCAGAAGAACAGAGGTCAGTGTTCTTTGTTGTCACTATCCCTGCCCATATGCCTGGTGAAATATGTCTGTCTTACAGGCCCTGAGGAATTGTTTCAGATCCTGCAGGGCCGAGGTCTCACTAAACATAGAGTTCCACCAGGTAGGGGCCAGAGCCAAAAATGCCCTGTCCCTGGTCACGGTCAGTCAGATGGTTTTCAGGCTGGGGAACCCTAGCTGGTTGTCATTAGCTGAGTGTAATGCTCTTTGAGGAACATATCAGGAGAGGCAGTCCCGTAGATACACTGGTCCCAGACCATTTAGGGCTTTGAATGTCAACACCAAAACCTTAAATCTGTTCCAATACTCAAATTGGAGTCAGTGCAGCTGGCAGTGCACCAGTTGAATATGTGCTCTCAACGGTGTACCTGTGAGAACCCAGGCCACTGCATTCTGCACCAATTGCATTTTCAGGATCAGGTGTAAGGGTAGCCCTGCGTAGAGCAAGTTACAGTAATCTAGTCTAGAGGTGACCACTGCATGGATCACTTTGACTAGGTCTTGGTGAGATAATTAGGGTGCCAGCAATCTAGCCTGGTGTGGATGAAAAAATGCCAGCCTAGTTACAATCATGACCTGTGCCTCCATTGACAGGGAGGCCTGTAAGACCACACCCAAGCTCTTGATGGTTAGTGCAGATGTCAATGGCAAGGCATCAAGAGCCAGGAGCTGGCCTCCCATACTGGCCCTCTTTTACCCAGCCACAGGACTTCCATCCTCAATGGATTAAGTTTCAGCCAGCTCTGTTTCAGCCATCTCACCACAGCCTCTAGTCCCATGGCCAACATGACTGGGGCAGTATCCAGTCAGGCACTCATCAGCAGATATAGCTGGGTGTCATTGCGTATTAATGACAACCCAGCCCAAAACTCCAAGCCAGGTGGGCAAGGGGGCACATATAGATGTTAAAGAGCAATTGGAAGAGGACTGCCCCTTGTGGGACCCCACATTCTAAGATCAAATCCAGTGTGTGGCCTGCTTGATGCATGGGACCTGATACAGTCTGGGAGAGACCCAGTGGTGCCATGAAAGACACTAGGTCCTTGGCATTGGCATGGAGGTTGAAGTCTCCCAGGACTATGTCTAGGGAACTCCAAGGCCCAGCCTGACACCACCTCCAGTAAGCCAGGCAGCCTGTCTGCTGGTGCACTAGGCGAACAGTACACCAGACAGACAGCCAAACTCTCCTCAGTGTCCCAGGCTAAATGAACATATTCAATACCGGAGATCGTTGGGTTGGGGAGTGTCCACTTTGTCTGAGACTGATGTAGGACTGAGCTCTTTTACTATAAAGCACTTTTACTATAAAACACTTTTGATAAAATCAAAACATTGTGATTTAACTATTTCCATTTCATCCTGCACTGCAAAATCACTCTGCAGTGTGGTGGTCATTATTAATAGACCTGGCATGGTACAATATCAGTGACAGAGAACAGTTTTTTGACCTAGCCCCACCACTAGTGTGTCTCGGAATGGGAATAAGGTTAGAAGGGGA